TGTGTGAAATGTTAACAAAAAACGTCAGCTTCTAACAGCAGCAAAAGTGTTTCCACCCACACACGGCCTGGCCTGGAAGCTGTCATATAAGGAAATGCAAAAAAAAAGCAAAAAAGTGACAGATTTTAAACGTCGTTTTTTTCGCCATAAATGTTATGTAAGTGTTACTTTTTAAAAAGCTATTAATGTTTTGAGGTTTTTCGGCATTTCTTCTATTGCTTTTGCTTCTTTATAAAAAAAATTTAATGAAATGAACACCTGCAACGACATTTACATACTTACCTTTTTAGAAACATACAAATAAAAATACATTCTATATATATATCCATTTACTTATTTTAATAGCCGAATAATTGGTTTTTACACGCGCCAGCCGGTGAATTGACTTTAGCCCGGCACCATCAGTCACTTTGGAGTGCTCATTCTGACACATAGTAAGCCAAGTATATTAACATACAAACATTTATAGGTATCTATACTAAAAAAGTTTATTTATAGAATTGCATTTCTATTGTGTTTCAGTTAAGACGCTTTTTGTGCTTTTATTTTATTTTTCCGGATTTTGTACAATTAAATATTTTTTTCATTGTCTGGTGTGTAATCACTTTCTGTTTGTTTATTTTATTTTATTTTTTGCATTATTTCTGGTGCGCCTACTTGCATAACCCGCTGTCGTCGTACGCGCATTCGCCGACTGCATTTGAATTGCTAATAATTTTCGAATTAGATCATCTTTGTAATTGTATATAATTAGCTTGTTTCAAAATGGCACACAGTGATTCGTTCAGCACAAGCTAGTTGGCGAAATTATTTAATTATAATTATATCTTCTGCTTAATATGACTTTTATATACATACAGACCCTAGAACTAAGCGGCCGATTTATTTGGAATTTAAAAACAATATTTAGTGAAAAGTCAGAAGTGTTTTCATATCTCTATCGTTACCGGAGTTATCGGTCAAATTGTGGACCCAGAAGACTAAAAAGCTGTATTGTACAATATGGGTATCACACAAAAGGTATTTGCAATAGCGTTACTTAAATTTTCTTTTTTTGATAGGGTTACTTAAAATATATGTATATAAAAACATTAAATATATAATCGAATCTACATAGCTTTAAGATCATAAAATTTTACTAAAAAAGCTTTAACAATTTTATTACTATTTTATTTATACATTTAAGTGTTTCGAACTTGCATATTTGTATTTGTAATTTTTTTGAATTTTTTTGTATTTCGTCGAATATTTTCAAATTTATTTTTCATCTCTCTTTCTACAAAAAAATCCAAATCCTCATACCACCATAATTCTATAAGTTAGAATAACAAGTTTGGAATAAAATTTTATTTTTCTTCTTTTCAGAAAAAAAATTCGAGGTTTTGGCTATTTAACAGGAGGAGGAGGAGAACAGAAAGAACTTCGAGTTTCTTAGTGCTTGCCCTTTGACTTTTTTTTTAACAAGAAATTTCGATTATATTTTGCCTTTTATTTTTTTAGAAGTATCTATATTGTTTTTGCACCAAATAAGATATCAAGTATTAAAGTACTAATTTTTATACCCTCAGCATCGATGCTTACTCAATATCGATAGTATCGTTCGAACCCTACGGACAGAAGTATCACATCAGGTGGTAATCTATAAATGACCCGATTCTCACATAAGAGAGGAACTTTCAAATTTCATTGTGATTTGGGAGGAATAACTCCCCGAGTAAGCAATGCCAACCAGTTCGTTCAACAAACACAGAGCACTAGAGCCAGGCACTTCACAACCAAATGGAGTCAATACCTCCCAAGCAACAATAACGATGTGTGGACGATGTTTCTTATATCAGTATGACATTAACGCAAACAAATAATCCGCCAAATGTGGAATAACTATGTAACAAAGTTCTATGCAAAGGTCACCCCAATAAGTTTATAATTTGTGTGCAGAATGTGCGGAAGACCAATGACAAACAATAAACAATTATCAAGGACATTTTTTAATAAAAAAAAACGCTAAGTTTTGTAGGGTCAAACATAACCCTAAGGACAAATTTGGTTTGTAATTTAAGGGACTTCTTCTTCTTCTTCTTATTTGGCGCTGGCCCTTTGCAGCAGTAGCACAAACTGCTAACTTTTACACCACAGCGGCCGCCACCTGGACAATCAAATGCCGTGCTTCATTGGGCTAAGCCGAACGTGCCTATGCGGTTATGGCGTTATTCAAGGAGGGCCTTACAAACGGAAAAAACGCCAGCAAAGCATACTTAACTTTATAAATATTTGATTTTTAATTTACTTCTTATTAAGTTTTATTATTTTCTTCTATATTTTCAAAATAGTGTTGTTAATCACTTTCGCAAATAAAACTCGAAGCAAAGCTTGGCACAACTTTCGTTGTTTTCCATTTATTAGCGCTTACGTATTTGTGACACTAAGTTAGGGTAAATTAAAAAAGCAAATAATTATTTGAGAAACAAAAAAAAAATAATAATAAAAGCACAGAAAACAAGTCATTAAAACTGAGCAACTGGTATTGCCAATAGTGGCGCAAGCATCTGTCTGCCTACTTGTTTGTCACATCACAACGCCTGAAGGTTACAAAGCAACGTGCTCGCCTGCCATTCTGTGCTATGCGCTTGCTTGCCTATTTGTATTTTCCTGCTTATGTATTTAAGTGAGTGTGCTTTGTTGTCGCGTATATGTAATTATTTAATTGGCACCCACCTTACAAAATGCATTTAATTTATTGTTTATCGATGAAATACTCAACACAGCCGCCCGTTGAACATGGAACGTGTTAATTGCAAATATCAATAGTTGTCGCCCAGCTGTCCACTGGGGCGGCCGCGGTGGGAAATCAACAACGAAACGCGCGGCGGCAACATGACGCGCAGGCAAATGGGAACGCAGAAGTTTTTATAAAAACAGGTGACGCTGCTAGGGGTGTGAGGCAAACACGACAAGCAACAAGCAAAAATTTCTACACGCAAGTGGGCAATAAAAATGACAACATGAGGCAGCAGATAGTGCAAAGATTAAAAAATAAATAAAATGTTAAAACAAAAGAGTTAATGAACAGAACCACACTAAGTGGTGTAGCCTCCGAGCAAACAAACGATTGGCGATGGCGATGGCCACGCACATCGTCATATCCTTTAGACTTACTGGAGTTGCGACTGCTCTACTACATACATATATCATATCGGCTGCCCCATTTATTTGTACACTCTCTCCCAGCCACCCAGCACTGGACACTCGTTCTCATTGTACGTTGAGCCTGTAATAACGCTTACAAGTTGACACTTTAAATGCTGCTATTCATTGGCGTGTGCGATTCTCTTGCTGTTGACTGTTGGCGTTGCATGTGGGGCATTTACGACATGACTAAAGTTATGTCACTCTTGCGCGCTGTGAAAGAAAAATGTAAAAGACGAAATGTTTGAAATATGTGAGCGCTGAGTGAAATAAATTGCGACGCAAATGATTACATGACGAAAGTAATGGTGCGCATATGGGTTGCAACCCAACAAAAAAAAAAAAAAAAAAAAAAAAAAAAAAAAAAAAAAAAAAAGAAAAANAATATTAAAAATTGTATGTATAAATTGTTGCAACAACAAAAGTACGCGCATTTAAATTAAACTCGCATGTAAAACAAAAACGCTGACAGTAGGCGGGCATACGAGTCTAACTGTGCATAACTGTCTGAATGTATGCCGTTGCTTGAGTGATGAGCGTGTGTTTAGGGCAACGCGCATACCCGTTAGACGTTACGTTGCCCAACCAACAGAGGTTCATTTTACATGCTGTCAGCTCACACTGCCCTATCAGTCAGATACTCTATCATTTTCAGTCGCCTAGTTGCAGTAGTTAAAGCGAAAAAGGTGACGGGATTTCATTTCATGTCACACGCAAGTGCCAAGCGAGCAACCGATCGAACGACCGACCGACCACCACGGCGTATGAGTGATGCGGATATGTTTTGCCACCAAAAACATGGAAAATATCCAGAGTGGCAGGCAGGCATTCAGGGCAGCGAGGCAAACAGCAAGGCGGGCGCGCATACACATTCCCAGCCAAATCAGTAGCTATGCTATTCCTTTGTCACACATGCAATATTTATTTTTTTTTCGCACACACCAACAACAAAAATATTCGCTCAAACATATGTACATACGGCTTTCCTCCTCATTTTGACTTACACTAAATGTACTCCCTAATACTCGTTTGTATGTGGCATTCGCGTAGACAAGTTGACATGTTTGGCGCGCCGCTTGTAAATTATTGCAGCGCAGCGTTCAAGTTGCGCTGATAAACGCAAAAATGAGTAATATTTCATGGCGCATACAAACAACCATTACTAAGTTTAGTTGTACTTGCAAAATGTCGCCTATTTACTTACTTGCTTGCTGTGCCAATGCCGACTGCTAGGCGTGGCTTGCTGACTGTGTAAATGATAGTCACTGATTATGATGGACGTCGTTATGTTTCTGGTTGCACAGCAGACACGACAGCTGGTAGTGCAGGAATAAATATAGTTCGTACGGATACATATATATGTATGTATAAAGATATGTATCTAAATATTTAAATTTGTAGACAGCAATGAGTTATTAACTTGATTAGAGATTAGTTTAGCCATTAGGTAATGCAAGTAATGACACCTGGAAATTGTATGGTCTATGTGAAGAGTTATGAAAGTATACTTTGGTGTGCTTTTAAGGCTATCAGATAATACAGGCATTCGTATTAGGCTTTGAATGCCTTTGCAGGGAATTTTATGAGTGATAAATTTTCTGGGTAGAGCACGTTCGAGTAATTTCTTCTCCGGTGGGTGGCAGAACGGTCCATGCAAGAACCAACTGAGGGCTTTTCTAGGACAGTTGCACTTTTAATAGTGTCCATTCTGTTACAGCTGAATTTCCCAGGAAAAGCGCTGGACACTCAAAATGCAGATCCGCAGGCAGTTGAGGTCTTCCAAAAGGAAGTTCTTCCAGAGTGTTATAGCTGAGGAGGAAACGCTTAGATGATTCCATCTCATCATCTTCCAAACAGATATGTCAATAGGGGTCCGTCAGACCACCGCAGAATGGCGCGAAACCGGATTTGACTATTCACAATAGTCCAGAGCTTAATTTTTAAACCGATTCTTTTTTAATTAAAAGCTGATGCGATTTCGCAGAGACTTTTCTAGCCCGATTTTTGAATTTTAATTTTTTACTGCCATGTGCAGAGAAAGTAGCAATTGTGAATAAAATCGACTTTTCTATTCCTACTAATAAAACTTATATAGTAAAAACTGGTAGAAAACAATTAAAGGGTTCCCCCAAATGTAAAAAATTGCACCATACAAATTTGAAACCTTGTAAAAAAATTTCATTAAAATTAAATTTTTTTTAAGTTTTGGAAAAAATTTAGGTATGTAAATAGTTTTGTGCAGTAAATTGCAATGTATAAATAAACAGGTCTTTCTGGCATTTTCGGCAAATTTTACAAATGTGGAAGAAAATGCGTAACATCGTCGAAAACCTAATTTTTAATTTAAATTAAAAAAAAAATGTAATTTTCGTGAACTTTTTTTATAATATCTATTTAAAATTTTTTTATGTGATCTTTTTCATTTTGCGCGAATCTTATGATTGTTTTCAATAGGTTTTTGTTATAAAATATTAATTAAATTATTTTCAAAATTGTTACATTCTCCGCATTTTGCACTGCAAAAATTTATAAAAAAAAAAATAATAATAAACATACGAAAAGCCCACTCAACAAATTTCTAATCACAGGACTATTCTGGCAACTGTCTTTCAACTCACCACTGTCTTCAATTCTGAAAACTTTCTTGAAAGCTCTTTGCTGCCTTTCGAAAGACTTAATGAAAGATTTTCTAACGAGGAGGACTAGCATTATGCTCTTCGCTTTTAGCAATGAGCTTTTCAAAAATTAAATTAAATTAACAAAATATATATTTTTCCATTTAAAAGAATAAAAGCTAATAAATAAAAGAAAGTTAAATTGAAAAAAGAAAAAATAGGAAAACGAATACAAATATTTTTAAAAATTAATTGAAATAAAAAAAAAAATATTTTTGTTGTTAAAACAACAACTAAAAATTAAAAAAGCAAAAAACTAGATAAACAAGATGCCAAAAATTAAATGAAATAAAAAACTGTTTTTATTATTATACAATATAAAAGTTCAAAAGTTAAAAGAAAATTAGAATAAAAAAGAAAAACACATTAAATAAAAAAGGAAAAAATAAGTAAGTTCCCAAAAATAAAATGAAATAAAAAAACTTATTTTTTTCTTTTTATACAATAAAATAAAAATACAAAAGAAACTTAAACTAAACAAACTTTAAAATTTAAACGGAATTAAAAAAATATATACATATACTCAAGTAGCACACTGGTGTATAACTTGGTGCGCGAATTTACGAATTAAAAAAGCAAAAAATTAGAAAAATAAGATGTCAAAAATTAAATGAAAAAAAAACTGTTTTTATTATTATACAATACAAAAGTTCAAAAGTCCAAAGAAAATTAAAATAAAAAAGAAAAACACATTAAATAAAAAAAAATAAAAAATAAGTAAAATGAGTTTCCAAAAATAAAATTAAATAAAAAACCTATTTTTTTCTTTTTATACAATAAAATGAAAATACAAAATAAACTTAAACTAAACAAATTTTAAAACTGAAACGAAATTAAAAGTATATATATATATATACTCAAGTAGCACACTGGTATATAACTTGGTGCGCGAATTTGCGAATTTCGGTATAAATCTGATTAGTTGTACCAAAATTCACAAATTTACAACAAGTTATACAACAGTGTGCTACTTGAGTATTGTCCTTTTTTAAACAATAAAATCAAGAAATCGAAAGAAAATTAAAGTAAAAAAAAGAAAATGTAAGCTAAAAAAGAAAAAAATTCCGCTGCCCGAGAATTCGTACTCGGACCTCTCGAATGGCATGCCTATGCTGTGCTCACTCGGCCTTTGCGACTATTGCAGCGACGCGAGCTAAATGATGTACAAGTGTTTTCTTTCAAAATAGGTTTTCACCACGAGTGAGGTGAGTGGGACAACTTATTTTCTAAGACTTTTGTGCTAGAATAACAAAAGTATTTCGAAAGTGTTTCATTTGTCCTACAAAACACTTTTTAGTATCTTAGCCGGAAGGAGTTCGAAGCGACCCCGAAAGAGAGAGGTGAAGGCTTCCCCGATCCGTTTCTATCACACTATTGTCGGCGCAAATCATCAGCGCTTGTCATTTGCCAGCCTATTATGCATAATTATAACTAGAAGAAGCTAAATATCGATATACTAATCCACTAGGTAGTCGCGTAAAATTATACCAGGTAAAAATAAACTCTGTTTTTTTCTTAAATCCTCCGCGCTTTAATTGGAAATCCCCAGGCTTTGACTATACAAACGAGCGCCATTACTGAGCAAACAACGACTAAGGTGAAAATATATTTATGTACATACCATGCATATTCGTGCATATGGGGCATATATAAAACCACAACAACAGCAAACTAACGAGCCAACGAGCAAAGTAAGGACAGTAATAAAAAAAAAATAGTTTGAAATGCAAAAGCAATTGCCGTTAAAATTGTTACGCCACACTAAAGCAGAATGCGCTGATTGCAAGGCGAGAAAGCGCTGTGGTGTGGTGTGTGCTGTGCTGCACATACACTACAGTGCGCAAGCGCTCCCATGAAAGAAAGTTACTAGTTCTCAGATAGTATCTAACAGAACAACATTTGGACTTGCTGCTTTGTTATGCGATGAGGCACACTGGACACTTAAAAAATGTCGAATTCAGTTGGCAGACGAAGTGTAAAAAATTCAAATCCTAACCACGATTCGCTCATCTCTGCATGCATCAACGTGCACGAACAATGTATTGCGTTGTTGTTGGCTCTCGGGTCGCTCGACTACAATAATCGTCAACGGACGAGATTATTCGTTTAGTTCATCTCTGAGCTGTCTACATTGAAATGCTTATGCAACTTTCCACCGCCAACGAGACCTCCATTATACAAGCCGTCATCGATTCGCCAACAGTTAGCGAGTGGCGAAACGAACGAACTCAATGAGGTACCACCAAACTCGCTATCGTCTATCCGTGCTAGCTAACTTTGTTGTTGCTTTCACACGCAAAATTCTTCTTTAGGCGACCGGAACTCAAACATAGCGAGCGAGAAGTGGCGAATCGATGACGGCTACAGTTAGACAGTTGAAGCGGTTGTTCGGAGATTGAGCGGGAACTAGTATTGTCGAAAAGGGAATGCATCTTGAACAATTTTTCGGCTAGAGTAATCTCCTGCAGGGTATTTATACACATATGTGTTGGTGTAGTGGTCGCGGCTATGCAAAATGGCTATAACGCAAGTTTATAACAACCGGAAACGGAAGTGGACGCACACATCGCCTTTGAGCGACGCAAGCGTGAGTTGTGTACGCAGAGTTGTATGTTGTAGCTGGTAATTTGAATTGCGGCGCAAACGGAAAAAGCGCAAAAATGTGCCGGACGAAAAGCGAAGAGCTAGAGACACACAGTGGGGACTGGGCTGCAATAGGAACGATATAAATAAATAGAAAAGAAGTGTGTGATAGCGAAATAATTATGAAGTAAATTTATGAGCGAATAACTGCTGCGGTATTTGCATGTGGTGAGGGCCAAATATGGGCAAGGATATGGCAGTGTGTGTGTGTGTGTGGGTAAGTGATGGTGTGTGTGTGTGCGAGGCCGAAACTTTGTGTAAGTGCCCTTAAGTAAGTGCGTTTGCTTGCTGTTAGATGAGTGCGTATTTTTAATTGCGCATTTATGAAAGCAAAATATGCAAACACAATCTGCCCGTCCTTACAAACACCCCACATGCAACTCTGCCATGACTAACAAGGGCGCCCAATGGAGAGTGGGTTGTATGCGTGCCGTCTCCGTACTGCTGTATGCGTGGCAGCGGAAAATGCATAGCGAAAACCGCAATTACGCACAACTGGCGGCCAAATTGCGGCATCAAATGGGCGTTTACGCAGCTATGGTAGATTTTCTTCCGCGCATCTAACATACAGTTGGAAATTTTTTAATGACGCAGAAGAAGTAATTGCATACAACAACAGCAACAATCAGCAAATACAAGTAAAAAAAACGCTAACGCACACAGAAAGCGTGTACGCTAAGGAAATTGAGAAAATTGTTATGCAAAAAAGCTATAATTTTCATTTAACACGTCACTTGCACGTGCAACAGGCGCACAAAAAACACACCCGAGCAATCATAAATCGACAACGCTCATAAATCATGCGCTAAACGCATAGTTTGACTGCCTTTGTGATTTGCCCCGTTTACCTATTTTGCTGTTATTGCTGCTGTTTTTTTTTTTTGTGGAAACACCCAGCTTAGGCTACCCCACCCCTTTTTGAAAATGTAAGACGCAATTTACGACATCTTAACGCCCAAGCGCCTGCCACTGCGCGCTGCTTCGCCTTCTTTTTGCTCTTTGTCCTCCTTTATGCTGCATTTCCCTTATCTACGCTGGGGTTAACTAGCTCCCTGCAGCGTTATGAGTTTAAAGTTACATGAACTATTAACAGGACACGCATATTCTCGTGTATGCTTAACTCAACTCTACTCGCACTAGCTGGCGGGCGCACAAAAGAGTCGATGACATGTTGTCACGCAGCAGGCCAGCCGAGTGTACACGCCACCCCTCTTGATTTTCCGACCTGTACAATAAAATTTTTCACGCTTATCGGCTTACTATGCACTTATGTATGTATTTATATAGCACGCCGCCTTCCCCCAGCCATTGTCCAGCGCTGCGACGAAAAGTTGAATAACCTCTTCGTGACAAGTTATTATCCGTGCGCCCTACAACTTTTCCACTTTCCACCTTTCTTCCACTGTCAGTCATTTCAATTTTTTTCCCGTTTTTTTTTTGTTTTCTGCCCCTATCGCGATTTACGCCACCGAAAACCCAAAACCGGTTCGTAGTATGGCGCAATTTCA